GTGCCTCACCAGTTAGGAGGGTTTCACTCCTCATCCAGTGCCCTTTGCTGGCCAAGTCATGGGGTGCCCCGTCTGCTGCTGGCTCCCCCCAGTCTCAGTGTCACAGCTGCTTCATTCATTCAGGTTTCTACTTCACTGAGCTGTCACTTAGTTACTAAGCATAGCAACTAGCCAAGTGTCAGTTAAACTCCTTCCCTTCCTCGCTCAGCTGGTGGCAGAGCATCTGGCATTGCCCGGCGTGGCAAAGAGTAATGTGCTGTAACCGGTTGCGTCGTTTGATAGAAACATCTGTCTGTGAGTCAGGGAGACCATGGGTTTGAGTCTAAAAAGCTTTGCTTCTACTGAGGTAGAGCAAAGTTCCATATAAATACGCAGCTTCTGGTCACACTCTGCATTAGGTGCCCTGACAGTGACAGCCAGTTCTGCTCCGCTGCCTTCCCAGTGAGTTGTTAACCCTGTGGCTTCGCGTTGACAGCCCTCCGTGTGTCACAGCTGTGACCTGTGCCAGTGGCTCCATTAACTTTTGTTATGATGACATTATGAAGACAGCATATTATGGAAGTAGGTGATCCCACCAGTCTAGGTGGGTTTACTCTACTTTCTTTTTATGTTGTATGAGTAATCTCTTGGTAAGATAGGTCTTCCTGCTTAGCTTTACTTTCTGCTCACTTCCTGTTGTTAGCATATGTACTTATTCACACCTGCCATGTATGTTATCAAATCTAATTTGAAAATAATTAGGTGCCCATGTTAACACCCTTAACATGGGGTCAGTTAAACTTGAAAGGGAGGGAGTTGATAATTGATTCTCTTTAGTTACTGTCATTCATATAAAACCGCCTCTAATGATGATTATAAAAAAAAGGAACCAAGAGTGATCTTGTTCTCTGGATTGTACAGTAGAAGCATGGCAGAGATCCCAACCAAATGGCAGCGCAGCAGAGAAGGATCCTGCTTTGAGTCTGCAGGAGCTTATGCAGGAACTACTTTGTCTTCCTTTTTAGCTGGACTCTGATTGACACCGTGCTGTGGCGCTGCAGGTGCTGTCTGATTCTGGAGCTGATGCAAAATAAATACACCCTTTAGAAATAGGGCAAAGCCCCCCAGGTTTTAGTGGAAATTGTAGATGGGTGATTTATTGGTATAATTTTTTTAAGGAGATTCATAAACAGAATTTATCAGATTCAGAGAACAAGGTGACATGCAGATCTGTGATGTAAGATAAGCGTCTTTGTGGCAAAAGCACGAAATGAAAGGCCATTTGCTGCAGGAATGAAAGAACCTGGTTTATAGTAAGGCTGCTGGATAGGCAGGTTTTAAAAGCTGCAATTTTTGAAGGCTCAGCATAACAGAGTCTGTAAGTAGCTGGTAGCTGCAAAGTGCTACCTCCAGCCTTTCACGGCAGTATTTCATGTCTGCAGACATGCATGTGCTGCGTTTGGATGACTGGAATCCAGTTCCTGCTGGAATTGGAAAAAACCTTTGCTGGCTGTGCTACTTTTCACTGCTAGGAAGAGATGTGATTGGGGAAAAAACCCCAACAAAACCTTCTTTCCTGCCATAACCTCTCAATCAGAAATCTAGCACTTGACTGCAAAACATCCTGAAAAGCAAAATACAGCTATTTAAAACCACATCAATTATGAAGTGTGTAGAGAATCAAACTAGTTTTTTCTGCAAAGTTACTACATTAGAATGTGTTTTTCCTAAAGTACAAAGAATTTAAGTACAAATATAGAGCTTCAGTTTGGTTCTGCTTTACTTTTCATCTTAACTGAGGGGAGATGGAGACTTTGCACTGCCTGAATTTGGGTCAAGCCCTGGATCTTGTGAAGACCATTCCCTTGTCCTAATGTGTTCATGCTTACAGTTTCATTTGGCCACTCTAAATGGTTCAGGACACATTTTACTGGGAAATGGCTGTGGTCTCTGTGCTTTGTGCTTTCCAACTATAAAAACTGAATGAGGATAATTTTGTATCTTTCTGATTTTCTCTGCCTTCACTTTCTCCCACACTCTTTACCCATCAAATTCAAGTGAAGTACATTGACATTGTGCCAAGAAATATTTGTACTTTTTAATTTTTCCTTGCCTTCTTTAGATCTTAACATATTTTTCCTTCCTTTTTGCTGTAAGAATTTTGCATGCTGTTTTTAGTGAATTGAAGTAAATGAAATGGAGAGAAATGGTACCCTGAGCTGCTGAATCGAGTGTTTGAATCAGAAGCAAGTACAGGAACAATTCTCTGTCAAGCTGTCTCTTAGTTATGTGGCAATATCTTTTTTTCAAGTAATAGAATGTGTTTATTACTTAAACAGCAGGTTTATACTTAAAATCTACTTTATATCAAAGATTCTTTTATTTGAGTAACATAGCTGCTGTCTAGCAAGCTGCCTGTCACCGGTGTGTTCCCTGTTTGAGTTTTCCATGTTAATTAGGTGTAATGTTGAAGAGAGGTATTACTGCTTGCTTATACTATGGAGAAAACCCCTGATCTACACACAAAAAAAGCTGGAGAGGGACTTTTGCCAAGGACATATAGTGACAGGATAAAGGGGAATGGCTTTAACCTGACACAGGGGAGACTGAGATGAGATCTTAGGAAGCTCTTCGCTGTGAGGGTGCTGAGGTGCTGGCACAGGGTGCCCAGAGAAGCTGTGGCTGCCCCATCCCTGGCAGTGTTCAAGGCCAGGTTGGACACAGGGGCTTGGAGCAACCTGGTCCAGTGGAAGGTGTCCCTGCCCATGGCAGGGGGTTGGAACTGGAGGAGCTTTAAGTTCCTTTCCAACCCAAACCAGTCTGTGATTCTTTGAAATGTTGCTTTTATGAACCTGAACCAAGCCAGGCTGCAGAAAAGAGAGCATCTGTACAGCCCTGTGTTAACTTTCATAGCACCATGTGCCAGGACACCGGGGGCTTTACAGAGGAGGTTGGGGCCAGAGACTTATACGTTATCCATTCTGAGAAGAAGCTTCTTTCAGGAGTCATTCCTGGAATAAAGATTGTCTTACTGGTGGTTAGAATAGTAATTTTTAGTTGGATATTTGCCTGTGTTGGAGATCAGGTGGCAATGCACCAATCTACCCCTGTCTCTTGACCTCTCTGATCTTTGCAGGTGTTAGTGCGTTAAGAAATCTTATGACATATTAGAGAAGAAAAACTTATTTTTTCCAATCGTGGTCTAGAAGCAGAAGTGGGATTAGGTTGAACCAGTGTTATTGACTCATTGTAATGCATTTTGCTCCCAAAAATCCATCAGTTTGACGTAATACTACTGAGAAGTGCCCAGAGCAAAGCATTTCCTCACTGTTAATACTGTAATGAGAAAACAACGACATGATTTTCACTAGTAAGTACGGTGATATTATATCCAGGTTAATCGTTCCAAGGAAAAAAATGATTATACTGCACATGCCATGTTCATGGCTGCCTACTGAGGCTTATTTTAAAACACAAGTATGCATGTATTGAGTACAACTGCTGGGTGCGACACAGACCTGGAACAGAATTTCTCCCGTGACATAGATATACTTGAAAAGAAAACGTAATTATTATATTTAGGTGTTACGTTGAGTAGAAACATTTAATGAAACACAGAGCAATTTGCCAAGAGAAAGAAGACAGAACCTGAAAAGCTTCAAAAAGTAAGTAAATGAGTTGAAGGAAAACCTGGATTTGGAGCATGATTATATAATAGTCAAGGTTTTCTGTCTGTAGCTTGTGGCTTGTGTAAAGTTTTCATTTTCAAGGATTTACGAGTTTGGTTTGGTTGTTGTTAAATAAAATTGTCCGTTCAATTTCCTGTGGTGAGTGCAGAAACAAGATCTTAGGCATGTTACATTAACAGCTACTACTCACATTAACTGTACTTCATGCACCTCCCTAAGACTGTTTCAGCTCTTTAGTCTTCCTTTGCATGATTCGCCATCCCTGAGATGTGTGGAGTGGAAGGAACCTGCAGATAATCTTTCTTGGTTCAGGTGGAGTTTTCATTCATTTCTCATGACTGACATTAGCCCTATATCCAGGAGAGTCCTTCAATAAGGCTTTTGAATCTTTTTTTGGCCTTCACGCTGTATATGCAGAAGCTTATTTGAAAGTTATGTGGAAGGTGAGCCCAGCTTATCCCTTTTACCTGCTTCAGGAAAGCCACAGTGCCATGATGGGAACAGTATCTGTCTGAATATAAAGCTGCAAAATAAAGCCAGAAAAGGCAATTGCTCAATATTCAAAAATAGGAGAAAAAGAAAAAGGGAGGAGATGGAAATGGCACAACTATATCACTTTCCTTATATCCGGCAGAGATGTTTCTCTCTAAGTTCATTGAGATGAGAATTCAGAATAGATATTACACATCTGTGTTCAACAACCAGGAAATAATGAAGAAAAGTGTTATTTTAGATCTATATTTATTAGAACACTCTAAATTCTATACATATGCATAATCTTTACCAGTTTCTGTTTTTTAGTCTTTCTTGGTGACTTAGTACCTGAATACTTGTAGTTCTTGGTACTTCTTCCCTGGTTATCCTGCGTACATTGCATTGTAGCTCCTGCTTTCACTGTTCAGGTAAGTAGTGAGGCAGGAGCAATTAAAGGGAAATATCATCTTGGATGTGTGCTGCTCCTGTAGCATTCTCCACACATCTGTGGAGCTCCTGCAGCTTTGGGGATGGTGTGTTTAATGTTCACTGCTGGTTTTGAGTGCCACAACATGAAAAGCTGCAGCTCTTCCAGCAGCCTCCTGAGACCTCCTCAATCACAGTGTCTTAGTAAATGGGGATCTGGGGGACTGGCAGTGCTACTTCCAACGAGATCGAGATATCATCTCAACGTTGTTTCAGAAATGTATTGAGTGTGGTAGTTGCAGAGTAGAAGTAAGAAACAGCTTTGTGAAATGAAGATGTATTTGTATGATGTTTGTCAGGAATGTAACACACATTCTCCTACTTAATAAGTGATGACAATATATTCATTGTAACTCTTTTCCAATCTTTTAGGTGGCTATAATAGCGGGAAACTTTGAGCTTGCTGAATATATCAAGAATCACAGGGAAGCTGATATCGGTAAGCAAATATTTACAGACACTGAACAGAAGTTATACATATTTAAAGCAGGTTTTTGCAAAGATATTAAATCTGATCCTCTGTGAGATGTGACTGCAGGGATGATGACAGTATGTTTCAGGGAGACTTTAGAAGTAGCTTTCCTGTAAAATATGATGGGGAAAAAGCTGAAACGTTTTCAAAATATGCTCTGGAAATGAAAATCTGATAGTGCAAAAGAGTGGGAGATGCTTTGTAAGTATGAATTAGTTTGTAACAGATTAAGTACACATCCACATACCTGGAAGAGCCAAATTGGCTCCTGCAGGCTGTTTAGCATCAGCCTAAAGCAGCTCTCAGGAAGAATAATTAGAAGAAGAAGATAAAGAAAGATGCTTCTCTTCTATGAAATGAATCTATATCAGAAGCTGTCTGTCCATATCCATAAACCCATTTCCTCTCACTGAGTTTGTTGTGTGGCACTGGATGAAGGCCAGTGACAGGCATTAAGGGCCCTTGACAGAAAACCTTAAGGGTTTTTAAAGATCTTTTTACATAGATAGTTTTGCCATTAAAATAAAAACCAGCCTGATAAAACTGATTTCTAATACAGTTTAATTACAATGAATTAAAATGCTTTAGTCCAAGTTAATTAAAGTTGCAGAGAAACATCCTGAAGTTGAAGGAAAAAAGGCATTCCTTTTGAAGCAGGAGTGGCTGTACAGTCATCTGCACTGATTGAACTCAGAGATGCAAATCTATGACTTGATAGTGTTTAATTTCTGAGGAAAACTAGGCCAGCTCACAGTAAACTTAAGACTGGGCAAAAATTGCTCTGGACTAAGGCCTCCCTTTCATTTCCCTTCCTGGTAGTGTACGATCTCTATAGTTAAAAACTCTGTGCAGTAAATGTGAATTCTCATAGCACTGTGAGACTTTCAACCCTTTGCAGTATGCACTGAGAAAACTGAAGACACGTTGCATAAAAACAATAACTTCTGCATAAAAGCTTATAGTGAGTTTGGAAGGTTTTTACCCGAGATAGTGGGATAGTTCCTTTCCATGAAAGAAGTCTTCATCCTTCTGTATTTATGAAGTCTGAGGTAAATAACTATAGTTGCACCAGTTATTCTTAATAGGGAAAGCATTTTATTGTTGTCTACATATGGCACATGGTTTTATAACTTCATGAAGATTGTTGTTTAGATTCATATGATCCTTTTATTTCTGCCATGTTAGTTCTTGATACTTTGGCTTGCATGTGGAGTCAGTGCACAAGTACCGCACGTAGCCAGTGTTATATTTTATGTTGCTTTAAATGGATTTTGTTCTTTTAAGAGTAGTTGTGTACAATAAAAGAAAAAAAGCCTTAGTGAAGGAACAACTTGCTAACATTAATTACTCATACTTACAGTACGAGTAACTGTAAAGTAAAAGTAATGCTTACAGTACACTTAGAAACAGCAGCCTCTAGACTGGTTTGCATGAAGCGACACTGATGTTACTGTCGTCATTTTTTGGACTGACTATTGCAGGTTCCCAGTTATGTCAGTGTGTGGGAGAAGCTGGAATGTAGTTATCAAGTAGATGGATGAGGCTCAGTCCAGGCACCGAGTGATAGCCACGTGGCTGAGGCTTTAGGCAGAACTTATTGCTGACTGTAAAGACTTTCTGTAGGATTTGATGATTTCTAGAAAAATGCTTAGAAACTATCTTCTATGGGAAGATTCTCCAAATTTTCCTGATGCCTTCCCTTTTCCACTGAAGGATAAAAATATCAGTGCTTCCATGATTCACTTGCATTTTTTGGTGAATTGTACATAACCATTTAAATTAGGAGATTTATCCAAAAGAAGCAACAGTATGTTAAGTTGTTGTGTTGTTTCCTCCCAGCGAATTTAATTTAACCAGGAATTTGTTCCTTAATATTTATTACTTAAAAAAAAAAAAAAAATAAGAAAAAACCACCTCATCAGTATGTCTTTTTCTGGAATATCTCCCAATTTAAAAAAAAAGGAATAAATCAAAGAACGATATCCTGAACAGAAAACTCAAGAGCTGGGATGATGATGAACGTGCAGAATGAGGTCAGCGTTGAAACTTCAACAAGTTGGCTCTTATTTATCTTACTTGTCTGGTTATCTGCTATATTCATGTAGTTTTGGATGTGCTCCAACATATATCATTTGCGTAATGCACCTTCTTAGAGCCTTGAGGCAACAAGAGTGGGAAGGAATAGTAAAGAGCTTGGGAAGTATCCTCATGAATATATGAATATCACACTGTGAAGTCTCTTGAGAAACATTTTATCTTTCATCTCGCAGAGTATTTTTGGTTAGATACTGAATTTTGGTGTTGAACCAGTTCATTAAACTTTGATTTTGGTATTTTAGGCTCATTCAATAATTAGGAGTACTTTGTATTTTGTAATTCTTTTAGACTCATTTAATAATCATTAAGCTAAAACTGTGGGAAATGCTTTGGAATATGTGCAGCTTTGGGTGGGTCTTTTTTCTATGGAGGTTTAAGCTGGTAGGTGATGAGCTGTTCCATCATTTAATAGTAAGCTTGTCAATGAGATTGATGATTCACAACAGCTACACTTGGAAGGAGGGGTTGGTGATGCACTGGGAAAATCTCCACCTTGCTCTTGATTCACTGGGAAAAAACTTCCACATCCTTCATAGAAGATTTTAATCTTTTATGATTAATATACAGCTAAGTAATATAAATGGCAATAATACTTTTTTCCACAAGAATCTGCCTACTTTTGTGGGGATGTCACCCTAAGGATGGGAAAACTTTAATTGGTGGCAGTGTTGGAGGGCTGGACCTAACTTTGTAGTTTCAAGAGCAGGTTTTATCTGGTGACAGAAACATGTTCTTACATTTCTCAACCCAAAATATCTGAAATAGGGAAAATATTTGCTTGAAATCTCTAATCTCACGTAGTGAGGAACTACACTACCCGTGTCCATCTGTTTGGACATGTGCTAATTAACATTATTCTTAGATAATTTTGTTGTCCCAAACTATTGCAGTAGGAAGTCACTTGTACTTTGAATGCAGAAGGTATTATGTGGGTGTCTTCCAGTTTGTTAGTAGTCACAAAGCTGTTTCAACTGATGTTGCCAAAACTGCAATGATAAGGCTCTACCAGCAGTAATGTAATGCTTATGATTCACGGTCCTGTGCTGTGTGATGCGGTGAGCTGTAGATAGCAGAGCTCAGCCTTTCCACAGGATGAGGGTATTGTACCTGTGGATGGAAGGGATGAGTCTGCAACTTGCCAGCAGCAACAGCACTACATCTCAATGCACTGGTCCAAAATGCTCCACTTCAATAAATATATATGTTTAATGCTGAGTATAGAGCACCTCCTATATGAAGATAGGCTGGAAAAATTGGAGCTGTTCAGCCTGGAGAAGAGAAACTGCGTGGAGACCTCAGGGCAGCTTCCAGTGTCTGAAGGGGGCTATGAGGATGCTGGAGAAGGACTCTTCGTCAGGGACTGTAGTGATAGGACAAGGCGTGATGGGTTCTGGCTTAAACAGGGGAAGTTCAGGTTAGATATAAAGAAGAAAGTCACTGAGAGAGTGGTGAGGTGCTGACACAGGTCACCCAAGGAAATTGGGGCTGCCCCATCCCTGGCAGTGTTCAAGGTTGGACAGGGCTTGGAGCAACCTGCTCTAGTGGAAGGTGGCCCTGCCTGTGGCAGGGAGTTGGAACTGGGCGAGCTTTAAAGGTCCATTCCAACCCCAACTATCCTGTGAGTCTTTTTTATGATTCTGTGTCACTTACTATCTATTCCACCTTTGCCTGCCAGTTGGCATTTAGAGTAGAATCCCATTTTAAGCTCTCTGTGAAGTCTGGGATTGTTCAGTTAAGAGGCTGAATTGCATGTCTTAAAGGGAGTCTTTTTTTAGCTTTTCTTCTTACTTTCTTTACTCCCTTCTCCTGTATTTTTGCCATCCTGTAGTGCTAAGACTACCCCTATTGTTGAAGGTCATGGAGAGGCAGCTCAGGTGAAACTTGACCCAGGGTATCCTCTAGCAGTAGAAAATTCTAATTTACAGCCACTAAACCTTTGTTTGACAGATCAAACCCCACAGAGATTGTTCTTCCTTTTTCTTTTTATTTAATTATAAAACACTTACATTAAATAAACATGTTGAAATGCTGAAAACCAAGGTGTATGTGAAATAAGCTTCTTTGCAAGAATCGTAAGACTTCATACTGTTCTGTAAAAAGAAGAAGAATATAAAATTAACTTTTTCAGAGTAAAAAAAGGCAAAAATAATGACCCATGGAATAATGTGACATCTGACTGTAAGAGAGATGTTCTTCTGAGGTGTGTAGTATCTGGTTATGTCACTCAGATCTTGCCAGATAAAAGCATGTACTTGGGGGCAGTGTGAGCCACTGTGTTTATTACTTATCTGTTTCATCTCCACAGAGATGGAGTCTGTCTGCTTCCCTTTTAGAGGCAAAATGGATTAAAGTCTGGATCTAGACTAGAAGAAGTAGGTGCCATTGGCAATCTTGCTTGACTATGCTGAGTGTGAAGGTAGTTTAGGGCTTCAGAACCATTAGGAAAGGTCAGAGCGGGTAGGTGTACTTGGAGGCAGCTCAGCAACAGCACTTCGGTTGAAGAGCATGTACTACAGTTCTCATGACTGATCTGCAGTGTGGAAACGTTGAGGCAAGGTAGTGCTATGCAGTTATATCCCTTTTTGGCTGTAAGCCCTTGTTTCTCCCATCAGACTGGAGTTTTGTGGAATACTCTTCCATTTAGCCACAATACAAGCATAAAAACCTGTTAGTTGTTCCATCCTATTAAATAACGTGACCGTTTCCTCTGCAAGTTTAAAACCATGTGGGTTCTCTCATACATGTTTGTTCTCCCTTCTTCTGTCAGCGAGTCACTTCTTCCTTACCTTGCTCCTCTTCCCACCATCAATTGACAATTAATGTTTCCATCTCAGGTAGTACATTAGGTGTCTGGGTGACTGGTTTGTTGA